CATGCGAGCATCCCAAGTAAGATATCCTTGCTGACGCATAAATTCATGAAGCCATTGTTCTAAATTTCCATTGTTGACATACTCATAAACCAAGAGCCTGCAATTTTGAATATAAACATGACTACAAACTCTGTTAATAGATAATAACATCATTGGCCTATAGTAAACAATTTAAGTAAGCTACCTCCAAAATATTCAGGCACAACATGACTCTGTTAATAGATAATAACGCCATTGGTATACGCATGTCCTGAAGTGCAAACGTCGGTACCGCTCACATCTCCCATGCGGAATAAATAATAGCCATCAGATGCAGACTCAACCTGATCCACTCCAGGACAAGAGTAAAAAATTCACCTGATCAGCCCGGCCCAGGTTAAAACTTTTGTTGGGCCCCATTTTTCCACAAAGCCCCAATCCATTCACATGTCGGCTGCTGCTGCTTGGGCTCAGGCCCCTAGTAAAAGTACTAACATGTGGGGTAATAATATTCTGCCGTAATGTACATAACATTATGTTGGTCCTGACTTCTCCTTTCACCCCTTGTTACAATTTGGGACGTCCAATTAATGGTTTTGGGTGATTAAGAGAAAGTATTGCCACAATTAAAATATTAAAAATGATAATAATAAAATTTAAATATTTTGATCTTCTTTCTTTAATCTCCATATACCTAAATGTATATTAATTGCTCTCCTTCAAAAAATGAATTTAAATATTTTTAATAAATTAATGTGTAAAAGATTGCAAAAAGATCCAAAAAAACCAACACGGGTTTGCTGTCGATGCTATCTGTCAGGGGTGGCCACTTTGCGTTAAGCCTTAAGAAAATATATAGGTGCCGGGTGAAATAAACAACAGTATCGATCCCCACGTTGTAGTGTCGACACACCAAGCACTTTTAGCTTTACATGTCTAACTTTTCCTAATGAGATTTTCTTAAATTTTATAAAATATTCAGTGAAAATCAGAGTTGAGAGATTTTGTAAATCAAGAAGGAGATAGCATTTCAAGAATACCAAGACTACAGTCCCAGGGGTTAACTTGTCATCCAAATGCTTCCTTTTACATATTTTCCTTTACGAAAAAAAAAAAAAAACAAATTCAGATATTAGCTATCACTCATAATATGTGTACACCAGAGACTAACTACAATGTAGCTCATTCGTAGGGCTGTTAACAGTTAGCTTTTCTACTGATATTCTTGTGCTAATTTTTGTAGGTAATGTGCGGTGCTGTTGTGCAGCCCCTGAAAAGATTAGTGCTAAGCGAAGAACGCTAGAACATTATAACGTGCAAACCAACTATTCAAAATGATTTGCGGCTGCAACGATCACATGTGTTCATCAGGATGCACGTACAATAGATGTGGCTGCAAGGATCGAAAATGAAAGAGCATTCAGCCTGGTTGCCCTTACACTACTAGAATTCACAGCATCACCGAGAAGAAGCCATGTCAGAAAACAAAGGGGATCTTGTCGGTAAAAAACATTTTCAACAAGAATCATGTCGGTGATAGTCGCGTCGGTGTAAGCTTGCTCGGTAATTAATTCACCGACGTGACTTAAACTCATGTCGGTAACTTCCTTCAAATTATCGACAAAAAGCATGTCTTTAATTGACTACCGGAACCGTACTGTCGGAGCTCATTTCAAGTCAGTCACGTCAGTAAATTACCGACGAAATATATATTTGTAAATATTCACTGACAAAAGTACAACTGAGACCTAGACATTCATTTACCGACAAGAACTTTATCTGAAACTTAAATTAACAATTTGCAAAATAATTAATAATTTACGTCTAAAAATTATCATGGACAAAACTGTGGTCTGAACCAAATTTTAATTTATCGAGAAAACTTAATTGGAAAACTGGGTTACCAATTTGTAAAAGAAATTTATATTATTTCTGTTAAATGCTAT